TGAAATTAGGACTAAGTAATTCTAAAGCGTCTTCAACGTCCATTGGTGCCCAGAGTTCTAGCATTGATAATGCCTGGCGAACTTCGTTGTTTTGCGTCCAATTCACGCATTTCAAAAACTTTGTTAAAGCCTTCTTCTGATTACTGAGATAAAACCGAAACTTCCACACATTATCCTGTTCTTCATTCGTTAATAATTTGGTTGCAGGATAAGAAACTATACTGTTTAACATATCCCTAACAGTGGCATTAGGTTTAGCGTCTTTATCAGACAAACCACTCCTTAGAGACCTTGCCAACTTGTGGTGCTTACTTTCTACTAAATTTTCCTACAAAACACTTCTTAAATATAAATAATTTGCTTATTTATTTAAAAATAATAACCTTAAGTATTTCATGATCAGGAACTGTAACTACATCAGCTTGTGTTCTAAACTGATAAACTTCTTCGACGTCCTGATCAAAATAAACTACTTGGTGGGGTATACTATCGATTATTATCGTCGGAAATTCTATCATTAAATACAAATAATTTGAACAACGCTTTTCTTTTTCATTGATCATTTCCAATTCTCGAAATGTAAGCCTGTCCAACCAATCAACCTAGAAAATTATAAATATACACCCTGAGCATAAAACTCTTTCACTTCATATACTTTTGTTATATGGCCATTACGATGTTTCTTAGCCAGTTTTGCTAATCGTTGCATTTGATCATGACCATCACCTTTTACTTTTCCAGGGGTTGAACTGGGAAAATTACCATCTGCTTCTTTGTTGGGCCAAACTCTTAAATCCAACATTCCCTATAATTTTAACAAGAATTAATAAAATCAACTTAGCAGTCATTACATTTACAATGTAGAAAAACAAACCTTATAATAACGTATGAGGTATGAACAAAATACCACATAACAATTATACATAAAATTCACAGAATTTATGTTTTTCAAAAGTAAAAGTTTTCCTCACTCTAATTAGATGGTAACAAAAATAAATTAAAATAAAAATAAAATATAAAAAATATCTAAATGTTTATCATAATAACCATTTATCAACAATAATTATGTAGCTGAAAAGATGCAAACAATGAATGAAAATAAAATTGCTTTGTTTTTAAAGTAACTAAAAGTAACTAGTTGAAGGTTTATAATAAGATTATTTGAAGAAAGGAAATATAAATGCATATGCTTAATACCTATTATGAAGCATACTGAAATGCTAGAAATAAAAAATATACAGCAAAGTATATAAGAAATGTTTACTAAAAAATACAAATAAACAAATATGCATAAAAAAGCAATACCAAAGGGTAACGCTATTGTTTAGTTTTGAGGAGCACCCATACTAAAAGTATATGATTGTATTTTAGTTCAACATCCAAAAAATTTGGGAACCATTACTGTATATAATCAAAATAATTTACATATGTTACTATTAAAAAGAATATGGTATAATTTTTTACATTGTTGTTTTGTTATGGTATCAGTTGGGTTATCTGCACTGTCTTAATAAATAAAAATAAGTACACCTGACAGATACATACCTGTCTAAAAAGGCCATATTTACTAAAAAGTGATACTGTTGTTCCTCCTACAGGAGACAACTTATTAGGTCCTACACAATCATAAATTGTTAATGCTAACTGAGAATTTCTGGGTAAATCACTAAATTGCACAGGTAATGTAATCCATTCATTCCAACTGCAACAAAAATAAATTTAAAATTGGATTGTTGCTAACATTTTCATATTTACTTCCAGCGTGATGTAAACGTTTTGTAAGAAGTTGAGACTGGTAATGCCAAGGGCTCTTTCTTGTCATAAACAACTGCCATCACCATAAGATCTGCACATCCTTCCTGATTTAGTCCTGAATATTTTAGTAACGGATCGGTTAAAAGCTTATCGTATTCAGGTTTTTGAGTAGTTCCCTCAAGAGTTCCTCTAAAACAGTAATATTGCAGGGTTAAGCTCGTTATTTTAATTCTTGACAAATGTAAATATACATTTTAATAACCAACTTTTCTGTCAAGGATGAACTTAACACATAATGAAACCTATCCACTAATTCTTCCATTTTTCTGATAAAAAAATGTACACATATAAAATTACATTTGTTGATTCCTTCAAAAATATAAAATTTATCTTTATTAATGAAATTATTATAAACGTAAATATAACCCAACTACCTAAAAGAATGGCACACTTATCTATGGGCACGCCAATAATCATAGACAACTAATAATCCTAATCATAGATAAGATCCTAATAATGATCATCATGATCGATTCATAGATATATAGTAGGTTTCTTACAACCAGTAATCGAACTAATTGTAAGTGATATTAATACATATTTAAAAAGTAAAAAATGTTTTATTTCAAAATGAAAATTGAAAAAAGATTTTAGTTATTGTCAGTCTAATAAAATTGATTTAAAAAATAAAAATAAAACCTTCGACGCCATCGAACACTTTATTCAGCAAAGACAAAAGTAAATGGATTGTTAAAACTGCTTAAATGCTATTTTTACTCTACAATATTCTCAAGAAGTGTTGTTTCTTTATACGTATGATTTCACCATTACCTATTAGAATTAATTACATCTGAAATATGTGGAACTCCTATTAAAACCATTACGTATTTCTTGGTTAGTTAGTACGGAAGTAATTTTACGAAAATTTTTATTGAAATATAACAAATGTAATAATTATGTTGTGATGTTTAATTGAAAAATAAAGCAAGGGCTAAATGTCCTGGTCATAGATTAGAAATATATAATATTTTCGTAGATGTTTGGCTTCTTACCATTGCATGATCCAACGCATGCGCAATTTACACAAGATCAGGGTACTTTTTAACGTCGTCTGGTTGGCTGCATTTGGCCAATACATTTGGCTAATCTGTCTGTCGAGAAAACCCTAGGGACAGTAAGATTGTAGTAGATTGTGAATTGTAGCGTAGTGGATGTGTTTTTTTTACCAAAATTTGGGAATTTTTTTTGACAAATGTGTGAAGTATATTGTGGATAATTAAAAGCCACATTTAATGCAGTTTCCTTTGAATGTGACAAATGCAGCGATCGTTAATAATGCTTGGATAGCAAAAGTTTATAATCTCGTCCCAGTCTTAAAAATAAACATTTCTTTTGTAGAAGTTCTGTTTTTAATTTTATTAGAAAAAGATGACTGAATACAAACTAGTTGTTGTGGGCGCTGGTGGTGTCGGGAAATCGGCACTAACAATCCAGCTTATACAAAATCATTTCGTTGACGAATATGATCCCACAATTGAAGACTCATACCGTAAACAAGTTGTAATAGATGGAGAGACTTGCTTATTAGATATCTTAGATACAGCAGGCCAAGAAGAATACAGTGCTATGAGGGACCAGTATATGCGAACAGGAGAAGGTTTTCTCTTAGTTTTTGCTGTTAACTCTGCCAAAAGCTTTGAAGATATTGGTACATACAGGGAGCAAATAAAGAGAGTTAAGGATGCAGAAGAAGTGCCAATGGTTCTTGTTGGAAATAAATGTGACTTGTCTGCCTGGGCTGTAGATATGGCTCAAGCTCGTGAGGTAAGGTTCTTTTTTAATATCTTATATGGATATGTTATTGTGTAATCCATTATTTCTAAAAATGATTGTAATCTTTAGATATATAAAAAGTTTAAAAGTAAAAAAATTCTTCTAAACAATAAATAAATGCACTTACCCTAAATCTATACTGTTTTTTTTTTTATTTTGTAAAAGTAAATTAATTTATTAACTTACAAAATGCTGATAAAAGAATCCATTTAATCACCTCATTAAGCAAGCAATATTAAGAATTTTATTGTATCAATTACATACATTTATACAGAGCCACTTTAATTTATTTGTAAGATAATTATAGAAAAGTAAAAATAAAATTGACTTTAAAGGTTGCCAAACAGTATGGCATTCCATTTGTGGAAACTTCAGCTAAAACAAGGATGGGAGTTGATGATGCCTTTTACACATTAGTGAGGGAGATTCGCAAAGATAAAGCAAGCAGGGGCAAGCACAAGTCTCCGAAAATGGGCATACACGGTCGTGTGCCTTTTAAGTTTCGCTGTACCATTCTCTAAGCTCAGCTCATGACCACATGCAGCCAAGAAGCATTGTTGAAGTGTGATAGTGTAATTTGCATGTTTCACTTTAAACTTTACACTTACTGTTCATTGGAATTATAATTTTTTATTAGCAGGCTTGTTAAGGTGGTGCCCTTTTATGAACAAATTTGAATAGTGAGACATTACAATAGCTGTAAAAATTCCAATTCTTTCTTTATTTCCTTATAAATACATGTAACAGCAATGAAAATTTTGAACTAAAAGTCATAATTTAGTTGTAATTAAAAATGAATATTGTAGTTATTGTACCATAATTTGGGGTAGTATTGAAATAGGGATGTTATTTAATAGAAACAATTGGATACATTTGTTTTGGCATATCAATTGGAATATCAAAAATGAAAGTAGTATTGTAAGGAAGGAATGTGTACAAAATCCAACAAGTTAGTTATTTTTATTAGTCCTTTAGTCTTATATGCCTTAAAATTAACTCTTGATATGTATTCAGTGGTTGAAAACTGTAGCTTTTTTACGCACATACGGTGTATAGCTATTTTGGAACAGATATTAAAAATCGATATTATTAAAAATAAGATTAAGATTTAATTGCACAAATTGAATTTTAATTAGAATAAAAGTACGATATGGGGTTTTCCCAAGAAATCAAAGGACTAAGGTATGAAAATGGCGTCCATAACAGTAAGTGTTTTTATTGCTCTATACTTATTTTAATTTTATTCGTAGCATTTAAGATCATACCAATTTTTTTTGTATTTTCCCATTATTATTAATATATGTACATCATATTGAACGAAACAAAGTACCAATTTTTTTTTATTTAGATTATAGATGTAAGAAGAACATATTTCAGAATCTGAGTGGTACTTTCATTCGTTCAATAGTACAATCGAACTTCTGCAACTCGAACTTTTATAACTCGAAATCTTCCCTAACTCGAATATTTTTTTGACATAAATACAGTTTTACTTTTATTCTAAACTCTTTAACTCGAATTTTTTTAACTGAAAAATCTGTAATTCGAGGGCGAACTTTACATTTATGAATTGTTTAATTTGGAACAATCACAAGCGTAAATAACTAAAGTAGGATTGCATGTTTTAATTTTGAATAGTCAGTGGCTGATTTCTATTTTTCAGTTTACAGTGTGATTAAAAAGTTAACGGTGTGTTTACAACATGCCTTCGAAACGAAAATTAAAATGTTTGGCAATAAAATACAAGTTTCCTTAAACTCGAATTTTCTCTAACTCGAACATAAGTGGTTGCATTAAGGAGGTTCGAGTGAGAGATGTTTGACTGTATAGCGACAATAACGGGAAAATACAAAAAATGCATAAATTATTGTGTTTAACTACTGGAATGAATTATTGGATTAGTATAAGCAACAACAAAAAAAAAATTAGGTAAAGTACTATGTCACTGTTGTTGGAGCTGTTTTCATACTCCTATCGGTCCTAGTCCTTTAAAATGATTATGTAATACAGGGTGTTTGCCAATTGGAGTTTTCTAAATTGAACAGTGAGACCAAACGAATTTAATGAAATTAATATAAACTTGGAACATTTTTCTATAAATTGAGTATTTCACTAAAATATCAACGATAAAAGACGATTACTGAGCATTTAATTTAATTAAAAAACAGAAGAGAAAAAATTAGCTTAAAAGAGTCCATCCAAGAAGGCGTATATTCTTTTTCGTTTGGAATCATAGGTGTAGTAAACTAACGTTCTGCGTTTTCAAATTATTCTGTAAAATACTTTAATATTGAAAATAAGCTATATATGCTTTTCAAGATGTCCGTAACTTTTTATGCTTTAATTTAACAATCATAGTATTAAAGTGGTTATGCAAAAAAGTCGGTAATTCGAGATATTTAGTAAGAAAATCACCGAACGTTTATTTCTACAATTTATAAAATTGGAATAGTTACGTTTTTATTACTTATGATTAGTTACTTTAAGATTAAGTGCAACGAAAAGAAATTTAATGCAGTGTTGTATCCTACTTAATAAACCATATACAGGGCGAGTCTTTTATCTTGAGGTAATAAAATATCTTGTTAGATTCTCATTATTTCAAAAAGTTTTAGAGTTGGTGACCTTGATTTTAACTTTAATCCTTAAACTTCGAAGAGGTCATGTACAGGTCAAACTTTTTTTTTAATGGGAACGCCTACTTTGTACCACAGCAATGGAAATAACGAAAAATTTTGCAATCGGAAATACTTTTGCAGTTAATTTGCTCTTAATCTTTTTTTATTTATGAGAAACTACGAATAATCAAATATCCGAAATATCTCGAATTAATCTCATTACTTCAAAAAAAGTTGTATCGTTTTTCAAAGGGGCAATCGACAATTGACCTTAATTGATTTGATTGAACTCGAGCATAGTTTTTAGTGGGAATGCCTTTTTTTGGCCCTAACAATGGAAAAAGCGGGAAAATTTAAAGTCAAGAATATTCTTGAGTTGATTTGCCCTTAATTTTCCTACAGATATTTATAGAACAATCAATAACGGTATTTCCGATTACAAAATTTCCCCTTTTTCCACTGCCGGGGTTAAAAATATGCATTCCCATTAAAAAATGATTTGACACTCAAATGACATTGAAGGGGAAGGTTGAAATTGGATATTAGATATTCTTAATGCATATCTCATAAATGTGGACTGAAAAATTAATAGTAAATCAACTTCAAGTTTGTGCTCTTCCCACTGCTGGGATCAAAGATATGCAGCTGGTCTCCTATTGACTCACCCTGTATACTTTAAATAATTCTATTTTCACAAGGAACTAAGTCATTTTGTTTTATAAAAATGTATTGAAAAAATTATGTTCATTTATCGACTCTATTTACGTAGCACTTCTTTGAACTGAACGACAGCTGTTTTATAGTTTAAGAAAGGCTAATAATAATTCAAATAAACATAAAATTCATCTACAGTGCCTTCTATGCATAAAACTAGACAAACTTGTCAAAATTTTGTCTTTTTTAATTCCAGATTGCATTGCTTTATTAAAATTAATTTATTTTAATTCATACTTTATACTTTTTTAATAGCAATATATCTATATCTGAAAATTGCTACGTAAATAGTGATATACCTATAACATTCATGATTAGATATGAAACGCTTCTAAATTTCTTGTATATTACATATTATCTACAATATACAATAAGATTTTTACTAATATAGTCGTAATTTTTTGCCTTTTTGAATATACTGAATAACGTGTAACTACCTTAGTTATAGACTATCGTCTTAATACTAAATATATATAAAATTCAACTTTCTCGTGTCTACATCTCTTAATTTACCCTCCAATGATTAAAAATCAAGAAGCAAAAAACAACTTTGCGTATGTTGTAAATAAAAAAGACAAAAATGAAACAGAAACCATTTCAATGATTAGGTAGTAAAAGCTTTTAAACCCCACAAACAACCAATATCTAAACTCTCCCTGTGTAGTCATCCTCAACTTTAATTTGTCAAACGGTACCCCTAAAATCTGTTTATAGAAACGAAACCACCATGCGGTAAGGAATTCAGCAATGGTTGTTTTAGGGTTTTAAAAGCTTACTGCCTGATTACTATATCTTATATTATATATTATATTATCTCTCCATCTTTTTCACTTCCTGCGCTATAGCTTAGTCAAGAAATTGTGGAACACCCGTATATATTCAAATATTTATTTTGTAGTTACATTTTTGAATGGACAAATATGTATGTATTAAAAGAAAAAAAATTCTTAAGGTGTTTCATATAATATGTATAAAAAGAAACAGGAACCACAATGAATTCCAAGAAATTGCGTCCCTTAAAGAAACCTATTCCTAGCCCATTTTAATGTTTCCTACTATTATCAAACCCCGAAACTGTTTTTTATTAATTTGATAGTTATCTTTTCACTACTTCAAAATAAGAAAGCATGCGTTAGAAAAAGTCCCCACTTCAAAATTTCAACTACACATACAAAACAATTTATAAAAAATTATACGTTTAAAATATACCTGATAAGTACCTAATATCAATAATTATATCGCATCAAATACTAAAAGGTTCTAGCATCTTCCAGAATTATACAATCCATTAAATTTAGTTCAGTAAATCAAATTTTTGCATAGTAAATTGTAGGTTCTGTGGAAACGCCCAAAATTTTATCTCAGATGAGCTAGGTAACCTCATAATGAGAAAAAAAATTGATGTAGCATTAAAAAAGTTAATAAATAATAAGGAGCCAGGTATAGATGGGATACAAGCGAAAATCTTAGATGCAGAACAAGAAGTTAGAAATTTGTATTTCTAAGCTAGTAGCCATACCTAAGAAGAGGGGTGCAGACATGTGCAAGACATTTACAACAATTAGCTTAGTTTCCCATGCGTCAAAAATATTAATTAGAATCGTACAGAGAAGGATGGAAAAAACGCGGAAATCTCATTAGGGAAGGCCAATTTGGGTTTAAAAGAAATAGAGCAACGCGGGAAGCCGTTCTAGCTTTACGGGTAACATTAAAGAAAACGATAGAAAAAGAAATGAGCGCGTTCATAACATTCGTAGATTTAGAAAAAAGCTGTTGATAATGTTAAATGGGACAAGATGATAAATTTGTGGTAATTAGGGGTGAGTATTCCTTTTAATTTTTAATTAATATTTACCCACAGTCTCCTCTTTCTACTTTGGGATGTTCTAGTTTTAGGGAAATGCGAAAATTAGCTCAGTATAGGAAAAAGTGGAAGTGGGTGTCCAAACAGTCTTACTTTGTTTGTTCTTAAGACTTATGATGATGATGAGTTCTAACCGAGATGACACCTTGGATAATGGACGTCAAACGCGTATAAGACTTCCAAACGGTTTATGTGGAATTTTGAGTTACTTAAGTTGGCAGCATATGGGAAACTTTCATTACTAATCTTACGAAAAAAAGTTACTTTCATAAAAAGTCCTGCATGGTCTAAAATATATAATGGCATGATCAGGCTTAATAATTTGTCAGTCAAGTACAAATTTTATCGTAAAACATGAAATTGTGTAACAGTAAAGTACCTTTATTTTTGAAAATAGCAAAAACTTCATGAAGAAAATTTCTTGAGCATTAAAAAGTAGTTACAAATATGCAACCATCAATATACCAATTGCTGAAATTACGATTTTGTATATTTTTTTAGTCATGCCCCATATGAGTGAATGCTTAAGTGTACATTAACAATAATACAATTCGGATCAAAGTTGCCGTGTGAATACCATGTTTGTCTGTTTTTCACTGAATGTCAAATATTAGTTTTAAAATTAAAAAAAAGTAAAACTGAGTTTAGTAGAAAAAATCGAAGTAATTTTAAATGTAATGTGCATTACCTTTTACATTTAAAATTTCTAAACTCAAAACCGCCAGCATTTTTGCGTTTTTTGATTTTAAAACTAAAATTTGGTATTCAATGAAAAACTGAGAAACATATCCACTACACGGTAACTTTCATCCGTTGTGTTATTGTTAATGTGCATGCATAGACATTCACGTATGGGACAGGAGTATGAAGAAATTTACAAAATCATAATTTTAGCAATTACTAGATATGGTTAAATACTTATAACTACTTTTTTATTCTCAACAAATTTTCTTTATCTGCTATTTTCAAAAATAAAGGTACTTTACTGTTATACAAATTTCGTATTTTATGCCAAAACTTGTATGACTGACAAATTATCATTAAGTCTAATGATGTCATTATGTGTTTTAGACCATACAAGAGTATTTTTTTTAGTAAAATTAATAATAAAAAAGTTTCCCACTTAAGTAGACACCCTGTATATCCACAAAAGGCTTAATAAAGAGCAATTCAATAACAAAAAGTCCGCTTAAGTAAAATATACAATCACTTTATTAATGGTTTCACTAACCGTAAAGTTAACAATAATTAAACAATACACATAAATACCAAAAGTGAATTTATACAATATAATGCAACACAAAAAAATAAACTTGCATATTATAAGTAAATGAGCAATTTAATTAATTGAAACTTACGTTAGACAAAAGAATAAAAATGGTATCACTTTCAGAAGTTAGAGCAACCTAAACCAATGAAGATGAAGACATCGTAAATCCGACAATGTTCAAGGAAACTGTATATGTACAAAAGCAGAGAAACAGAATTCGGATACTAATAAAAACAGAAAAGGGTCACAGCCGAACGAATGTAATAATGTATTTTATATTTTTTGCATGTACTATAACAAATAATACACATAAACGGGTTTACAAATACGAGGCAATGTCATATAGACTTTATAATGTGAATAACGCTTACATTATTCAAACACTATTATCAATCATTTTAATGGATACGTTAAAATAATGTGACACGTTTTACATAACGTTTATTTTCTACAAATTATTCATTTTTATTCTATTTCTGGTGATCTTTATTAAATAACTTCTATAATAATTAAATGTATTCTTTATAAATATGGAATTTACTCTCTTAGTAGGAAAACTAAAACTAATGTTAAAGAAAATAATTCTCCTTCATCAACGGTTATAAAGCCTATACGAGAATACTCCTTACAACAAAATGTAAATTAAAACAAGAAATGGAAAAGAAGTAATGTATTAAATTGAATACAAATTCCAAATCAAATCAAATCAATCGAGAATATTAAAATTATCTGAGTAATTACTTATAATTCACATTAATAAATAAACTTTTAATTATAAATAAGTTTGCCTAGTTCTTTTATTTACAACCCTTTTTAAAAACCAAAAACCAGAAAAGTTGGGTACGAATAAAGCATAAATGTCTTATCCCTTTAAATAAACCAACCAGTTAAGATATAATGAAACAAAAAGAACCAAGCAAAATTAAACATTTTTAACCTTTCATCACTTTCGTAGGCATTTCTTAAACTTCGTAATTTTTCATCTTTTACAACCAAAAACAACCGATCTACATCTATCAATAAATTGCATACAGTCCTTTGAGGTTTCGAAATACTAACAAAAAAAGTAGACAATCACTACATGTTTAGCAGACGGATTGTTTGAATATATGAATAATATGTTTCATCTTTCATTATTGGATATACGAAACCATTTCAAAACGTATCCGCAACAATGAAAAACCTTACTTTTCCTCACACATATTTTAATTCTCTTAGAGATTTTTACAATAAATTTAATGGTCGGAAGTATTGTCGACAATATGCAGCCCCAACACTCAAAGGTCTGTCTTGAGGTTTGTAAAGTTTCGACGTACGTTCTGGTAGACGTCCGTAAGCTATTAAATATTCACGATCAAAAGCGTTAAGATCGACGTTTGATCTGCCGACTACTTTGCACACAAGGAACAAAATATCGCGATAGATCGAATGAGTTCGATCCGCAGGGCCGCTACGCGCCTTCTGTAATCGTTGTCGTTCAGATGCAAGACGCTTCAGCGGTTCCAGCAAATCATTGCAATGGACGTTGCTTATTATTGTTTGCATAACACTAAAAATATTAAACATGAAACTAAATTTTTTGATATTTTACACGAAGTTGCCTATAGTTTTATACATGGTTTTCCTGAAACATTCTGAAATACAAAATGGGGATTTTTTATTTGTTTATAATCTATTTGCTTATTTACAGTCAGAAAAATAAAAAAATACCAACAATTTTTATAGATAACAACTAAAACGAATTATTAACAATAGTAAATAGTCTTTTGAAGATTTCCCCTCTTCCACGAAAACAATAGCTACAAACTTGGTCGTGAATTTATTTTACAAAAACGCCTTAAATGCTAATAGTCGTATTTTGAACGTTTTAATATTACAACTACCACCGCTTTTACTTATGTAGGAAAATTAGATATATGTTATTTTTTGGTATCTAAAAATATTAAAACGCATACATTTCTTTCCAGCTCGTACAGAATTAGAAATAATTAACATCAAGAGCAAAATGTTTTCAATTATTTCTGTTTAAATAATGAAGAAATTTGTCAANGGAAGCCAAAAAAATTGCTGTGATTTTTTTGTGATTATAATTTTTTTTTTAATTTTTAGTTAAACAATTTTTCTTTATTTTCATTTTCTACCATTAGATAACCAAAAGAAAGATTCGGTGGAGGGTACAGGTGAGGTGAAAAGTGGGTGGCAGGTTGTAAAAAAGGGAACACTAATTTTTAACATTTAGATGTCTGTATACATAGCAAGAAAATCGTCATCATGATAAGCATAATTTATCATAATAGTAACTATTAATAAGAAGTATTTGTGAAATTTTTAACCTCCCCCCTTGTTACCGTCATCCCCATCTAATTTTACTCACATCTTTCATCGCTTTTTAACTTCTCATTAGAATAAACAAAATTTTTTATAACATTTTTTTAAATTTAATATATTTTCAACCGCCAGCATTTTTGCGTTTTTTGATTTTAAAACTAAAATTTGGTATTCAATGAAAAACTGAGAAACATATCCACTACACGGTAACTTTCATCCGTTGTGTTATTGTTAATGTGCATGCATAGACATTCACGTATGGGACAGGAGTATGAAGAAATTTACAAAATCATAATTTTAGCAATTACTAGATATGGTTAAATACTTATAACTACTTTTTTATTCTCAACAAATTTTCTTTATCTGCTATTTTCAAAAATAAAGGTACTTTACTGTTATACAAATTTCGTATTTTATGCCAAAACTTGTATGACTGACAAATTATCATTAAGTCTAATGATGTCATTATGTGTTTTAGACCATACAAGAGTATTTTTTTTAGTAAAATTAATAATAAAAAAGTTTCCCACTTAAGTAGACACCCTGTATATNACAATAAATTATAAAATAAATTATTAGTTAACTCTAGACCCATTTTATAAAAAATCGGTGAAAACTTTTTGTTCAGCGGGATATTGTTCCTTCAAGTGTAACTATAACCATAACTTTTTTAAGCTTGTGAACTAAACTAATCGTAAATACTATTTTGTCGTTATTTACCTTTACGTATTTACTTAAATAGAATCATTGAAAAAGTAAAAAACCACGTTATTAAAGATTACCCACACCAGATAATCGTATCAAAAAATATGTTTTCCGCATTTTTAATTTATGTATATGGTATTCAAACATGTTTTGATTTTTAACTCAATTTATTTCATTTTTAGAAAAATTGTTGGACGATTTTACTAGGTACTACCGATTTGTTTTAAAGAATATCGCAATAAAGGGAGATGCGGTAAACAAATTTAATAGAAAATGAAATAACTGAAAAATTGTTGAGTCAAAGTACGGTTGTATTATGTACGAGTATCAACTTTATCCTTAATTTTGATAAGCATCAAGAAATGTAAGAAAAATGGGAGTTGATGTTAACTTCTGGAATAACCGGAAGTAACAAAAATTCGAAAATATTTGAAAATGGTAGCCTTTTTTTACAAATTCTGAGACTATATCAAAATGATATTCCAATTCAGTCCTGAGATATGTGAGTTTTTGTATGGTAACAGACAAAGGTTCACACTAACTCGGTACGTTTTTGGTTTTCAATAATTTGATCATTAAGTTTTTGTGCTTAAAGTTGATGCTACTTACAGGACACATATTTCCAATAGAAATTAAAAAATGGCCTTCGACAGGCTTTAGAACAAACCTTTATCTATCTTACTACAAAATCTCAAATCTCTATTCCAAATAATAAACTCATGATATCTAAACAGATAAGCATGTTTTTACTCCCCTTAAGTTATATGAAATTGAATGCTTATGATTTTAAATTTTACGTTATATCAGGTTAAATTACTATTCAGGGTGAGCCAGAACTTTTAATGCACAGGCTTTGACCCACCCATAGCTATATTTACACATCATTGGTAACTATTAAAGGACTCACTTCTTCTTTTATTGATATTAATTTACTAAGATATTTTTTCAAGTTAAAAGCTCAAAAAACACGAATCACAATAATAATACAAATCTTAGATTGCAAAAGTAGCGGCAACCCTGCCACCTTGTCGCCAAGGCTAGCAACCAATTAATATAAAAAACTAAATTTAAATTTCAACACAAACATTTATCACGGGGATAGATCACATACATCAATTTTTGTCTTATATCACAATAATTGTACTTACGTTCTGCTTATGGTAGAAGTATCTGTAAGAGCACTAACCAAAGGGCTAGCAGTGTCTCGTCTTGCCCACAATATATACATGGGAATATTCTCACCATGCAACCTGGGATCATCCCATATACAGCGCACAGATACTTGCGCGGTGAGATGCTCTAAAACGTACGTATATAACAGAAAAAAAATTACCCGCTACAAAAAAACATTGTTTAAACCTAATGAAACGGTTGATATTCAAATAAACAAAGAACCACTTACGCATTTCCTCCTTAGGTGCAGCTAACAAAAAACGAAGCGTTTAACAATACTATTTCAAAACCGAAAGCACTAATTGTGTTAGTAAGCACACTTAAACGAAAGAGTTATTAATTAATTAACTTTATTTTCAATTAAACAACATCCAAACGAAAACTTATCAAAAAAATATTAAAATACATCATCAAAATATTGCACTTCATTAAAACTCACCTATACTCGCCAATTCTTGAGTTAAAGGGTCAGCACCATCTTCTACCCTGCGCATGATCATACCATTATCTTCTTTGGAATCTTGACCGTTGTTGTTCGTTTCGGTCCCTTTCTGTATTTCCTGATTTCGTGCCCTGTTCTTCAGGCATAGATTTGGCAGGTGCGTTTGAACATTTATTCTTTCAAAGTCCCATACAAGGTTCCAATAAATTATGGGATGCTGTTCAACGAATTTATCACGAGCAAGACTAAGATCGCCTTCCTCTGCAAGGACGTTTTCCAATTCTTTACGCAGAACAACGGGATTGAGGTAGGGCACACAAAATGGGTTGTCTTTTTCCCCGTTTGTTGGACGGTTTATATTAATAGTTAATAGAGGAACCGTTGGTTTGGAACATGCGGTACAAATAGTATTTAAATTAGAATCTTCGGCCGACCAATTAGCCATTATATCTTCATCGTAAAGAAGGGATAGACAATTGTGACACTGCGAGCACGAACTAAGAGTAATCTCCAGTTCGCAATCTAATGACAATAAAAATAAATTATGGATCACGTAAATAAATATTACCATCAATTTCAATTTAAATAATTGCTATCTTCGTATTAAATCCTAAGATCTTATATTACGTACTTGAATTAACTTATTGTGATAAAGCAAACAGAAAATTGATAAAAACGGGGATACATGACGCATTATCGGTTATATTGCTTATTTTTACCACAAATATTGTAGTATGTCATTTAAAAAAAGGCATTAATGTTTAAATGCCAAAATACAAAGTCCTCTGCCATAGAACTTTAACACTCAACTATATTTAAAAAAGTCAATTCTTCCATTGAAAACTACAGTATCGGATAGAGCCTTAAAGTTGAAATAAATTTTATTGAAAAGGATATTAAATTTTTAATATCGTCAGAAATACACGATGTTGGGTGTTATATGGTTAATTATCAAGGCGCAAATTTAATTCGAATATTTGAAGTACTTTTTTACAATTTATAATTTTTAATTGAATTTTTTTTTCTCTTTATAAATTAATATTTAAATATTTATTTTTCCGAGAAAAATGTAGGTACTTTCACGGTGTATTTTAAATAAGTAATATATGTATGACATGATTTTTATTTAGTATTTATCGTCTAAAACTACAGTAATATTCAACCGACCTCTTCAGGTACTTTACCCATATGCTTTGTTTAAACCTATTTTCCTTTACTTTCTTTTGGATTGGAATTAATGCACTTTAAAATAGACTGAAAACGCATTAAAAATAAATATTAAACGTTAATAGTGATACTCATAAAATAATAATTGTCACTTTTGAAAGACAAAACGAGAAAATAATCTTCCACATTAAAAAAAAAACTATCCCCTCTAAAATATATTATCGCGCTGCTTAAAAAAGATTTGCACAAAAAACAATAGATCGCATGTTAAAACGTAGACAAATGAGCAGTTTGGGCTGGACATTCATTAGCCTAAGCTCGTGTGCATTACAACCTTTGATGACGTGTACCTATGGATTTTAGTGAAGTAATGAGTTTAATAAAAGAATTTATCTTCAGTACGTAATGGGATGAATCCGACAGGGACAATACAATTGTAAGGCGGCATGGGCAGCAAACTACATTTAATAAATTCATAATGCATTAATAAATGACAATACTCTTGCATTTTCTAAGTCTATAATTTTTCCTAATCTTGGGTTTGATTATACTATTTGTTTTATGCAATAATAGAGGCGTATTTAACCAATGTTGAAGCAAATAATTTCAAAGTGTAAACGGTGCAAACCTCCCTTTCAAATTGCAAACAATCAATTTTAAAGTAAGTAATGTTACATTAAAGTTAATCATTTCAACGTGCAAATAATCCATTTTCAAAGTACAAGTGACAAAAGTTAACATTATTTATTTAAAGTGCAATATATCTTCCCCCTTTCTTTTTAACCTTTAAAAATTCCATACCTTAGAATTACACAAAATAAAAAATTAAATTCAAAATGTTGATGAAACGATAAAAAATGAAAAAAACAATTGTGTGGTTTTATGAAACCACGATGCAAGTGAAACTTTTCGGATTGTAGGTATTAACTGTAAATTATTTGATTTAGGGTATTAAAATTAAAATCGCGTTCTTAATCTTATCTTAATGATTGAAAAATGAGAATGACAATAGGAAATCAATAGTAGACAAGATATCCAACTATAAATTATAATTTCAATCTGCGTATGAGAGTACGAAATACATAATAAATACAGTAGTTCTTAGGATTTCACGGTCGGCGTATGACATCAGTTACGACTCAGCATCTGCCCAGTCACCACTGAAGATGCCGTCAGCAAAGAACAGCGAAACGTTTGGAAAAGTAAAATTCCACGGACCGCGGCCAAAAAGCCCGGAAGAAAGCACCGCATCGATAATAAATACAATCATTCAGATGATAGACGCATGTTAAAAACTGAGAACAATGTTTATTTAAATCACTGAATCATTCTATCAATAATTTCATCTTCGCTTTGAGTTTTACAGTTTATAAATGTAATTGTCATGCACTTGCACGAATGAGTGAAATATAAATGCTACACGGTTAGCTCATGCGAGCCATGGGCGCCGCCATATTGGCGTTGACTGCTCTGTCGAGCGCCTTTCACTTCTACCCCTACTCCGCGGCCGGCTGTAATGCGACATGCAATAGATGGACAAATAAATTTGAGGCGATGTAATAAAAGTTTCACTTTAAAAAGGTCTCTTAAAAAGAGCAAAATAATCAATATTTGAATAATGTGCTTAAATTAGAACTTTCATGATAATTTTTTTATAATCAATATTAGGAATAATAATAATAGATAACTTTGTCTATTCAAAATACCTGACACTATTTCTTCACTCGGAGGTGGATATAAACATTCAGGTATGTTTTCCTCTGAATCTCTTAAATTAGCGTTACTGCCTTTATAACTTCCTAATTCTCCAGAAATTCTGCGATGCCTTTCACCAGGGTCACTTCCATCTGTAGAACCTATTTCTTCAACACCATCATTTCCCAATTCACCTCCACCTCCTCTATCACCTACTTGTGCTTTAACTGGAGTCGAATTAGTGGAAGTGGAAATTGCCTCTTTGATTTCGTCTAATTTCTTCACCATAGATGCCGCTGCCGATTTCATGCTACTTATGCCACCTTGAATTAGCTCATTTGATTTTTTACCAGTTAAACTACTGGGACTGAAATGAAATACAAATTTAACACTTCAAACTAACAAAAAATATGTTTTAATTTGAATTCTATTTATGTAAACTGTTCAAAGTTGTTATATAAGTAAAATAAATATAGGTATTATACAAATATTTAAGAATAATAACTATTTAAATGTATTTCGTCAGAATGACGTTCAAAGATTATAAATTTTATTATGCAACGTTAATTTATTGTAGCAAACTGAACATATTTTCATTCATTCATTCATTAATACAAACATCATTTTTTATTTAAATATAAATAAAACATCGTGGCACATTTTAATTTGTCAAATATGTATGAAATGAACTGTTTTCGCGATTATAATTATAATTCTCATTTTAAAAATATCTTTCGTAAGCTACGTAAATTTTTTGAAAACGCAAATTCACAGTAATATAACTTTGTATTTACAGAAGGAAAGTAACACCAAAAGCTTTAAAAATACGCATGTTACAATATATACAAAAAAGAGCAAATAATTTTACTAATCGTGCTACAAAAAAAATATAATTTAATTGCACAATACAAATATATTAGCTACACAAACAAACAGAAAAAAATATACACTAATTTCAGTAATAAAATTATATTCTTATCAAATTGCAGTACGATTAGCATTTTGTCAAATAACAAGTATTTCTACAAGTACCTGAGATTATTGATGGCACTCTCGATTAATTGCTGGGGCACCTTCAGATCAGACTTGCGCAGAGACAACCGTGCAGGTGAGTAGCGGCTAAAAAACATATCTAGCTACTGGTAGCGTCTGTGCATATGGACAGGAAAGCCAAACAGGAAGCAAATAGCGCGAAATTGCTTTTTAATCATGCCCAAAAATTTTTTGGATTAGTCATGCAAAAAGATATGACAGAGATTTATAAATCTCTGGATATTGCTTCTTTAGAAATAAAAATGTGCACACGGAGCAATTTTAATCGATGTTCCAGCGATATTTTTATTAAAGTATACTAACGATAATAGCAACATACTTTCCTGTATGCTGCTACATGAGATGCTTCTAAAATTTTCTCAGAAAAATTTACCACTCAATTCTTAGCAAAACAATGTCACCCAAAATTCCACATAAAACGTTTAAAACCTAAAACGCGTTTTCAAAAGTTTTATGTGGAATTTGACGTCATTTCATTTTTTATCACCCAATTCTTGCACGAAAATCAAAAGGAGTCAGTGGAGCTAAATTGAATAAAACACTACAATCAAAAATCCCACACAAAACATTTAAAAGCTTAATACGCGTTTATGGTTTTCTGTCCAAATATCAGGTAAATAAAAACAGTTATTTATTAATGATTAGTGCAACTAATCAATCAGGGCGCGTCTTTACAGAATTCTATACATCAAATGTTGTCGGTGTACTTCAATTTTGAACTAGTAAAAAAAAAGTAAATGTGTCTTACAAAAATAAGATTTTAAATCTTCCTGAAACAATTTTTGATTACCATATATATTACACAACTTAGATCAGTATGCTCAATTTTAGTTGTAAAGTTACTGATGTTTTTGTCACATTATTGCAGAATGTTCAATTTTCGTAACCTCTTTAAATGGTAAAAAGTCGCGCTTTTCCAGGCGGAAAGTATGGACAAAAGACTAATTCTTATTAGCATGCACACGATTATGAAGCATGCGTATTGACAGAAATTTAACGTAATCGTGTAAGCAGTGCTGCCAGATATAGCACATTTGACGTAATCGCAAATCGATAATTATTTTGATGCATACCATAATCAATTATTGTAAGGTAACTTTATAGTGACTGTGGCATTAAATTAAATAAAATTAAATTATATCACCCTATACAATAGCATGAATGTAATGAAATATGTATATTATGATACAAGTTAGTTTATTATTAGGATGAATGCATAGAATGGAAATGAGAAAAATTTCTGTTAGTTTTATTCCTAACTTTGTTACAATTCATTTATTGTTAAGTTTTTATTTTAATATTTCTTATTGGATTTTCTGTTATTATTATGTCTGTAATAATTCATTTATGATCAATAAAATCGAAAGGACGAACTTTCAGCACAAATGTGACAAAAAATTGTATACGCATATCGGAAAGAAATTGGAGATAGCGCCTTCGGGCGGCAAAAAACACCTGTAATAATCCACTTCTTTCCCTTGATACGTAATATTTATACTATACATACCTATGTACTACACTAATTATGAATGGCAAAATGAACTACTAGGAAGGAAAATTTAAGATATTAATTGAATAATAACGATTTTTAAACAGAATTGTTAATAAAAACTACATAATTTATAACTTTATAGATACAATAAATTTTTCCGTACAGTCTATTAAAGTGAAAAAGATCATTGAAACTAAGCTGTTAATTTATTAAAATCAAAATGTTTGTTGTAAATCCAGATTCTAGGAATTACTTTGCACATTCTTTAAAACGTTGTTTAAGTACATTGTTCAATACCAATTAAATATTTCAATGGTTAATAGTTACCTGAATCCGATTTTGAGGGTGGATCCAAATCCCGCTAAGCTGGACGTTAAGGAGGACGCGGGTACAGTTTCGGACCTGTGAAGCTTGTTAGACGTTGGTGGACTACCTTCGAAAGTAGCAGATCTATGAACGGACGAACGAAATAAGATTGGTTCATCACTAGCCAACGGTGGCCGAGTATTATCAATTGCTAATTGGTCGTTTTGAATTTCAGAGGTCGCTCCAGAAACAACTATTTCAACTTCAGGCTGCTCTAGAGCTCCAAGGGGATCATTTTCGGTAACCGGTGTTCTAGTGGACAACCTACAGCAGTATAATTTTAAGTCAATCACAAAAATTTTACTATTTTGATACAAAACAAACCTAAACATAACTTCAAACTCAATAAATATATTTATAATGGAAATTTTATTTTTTAATTACCTCAAAAATAAAGTTCCTTACACTATTTATTCAACTCCGAATGTAATTTTAAATAATATCTTTTTTCTTTTAGTTTTTTTAATGCAAGTAATGTCAAGTAAGTTGTCAAATCAAAACGTTTCATTGCTACTTTAGGAAAAATATCATTTATTTAGATGCGAAATCGCATGTACAGGGTAGTTCTGAAATGAGTAGCAAGCTTGCAGAAGATGAAAAGTCCACCGTTTTCGAGAAAAACGTATTTGAAAGTACAAGCAAGGGCCGTCCTGGTAGTTCACACAAGTATAAATATAAGTATCCGTTATATTTCTTTTGAATTTTTGTATTCATGTATTGTTTCTTGTTTAGTAAATTAGATTAAGAGTAATTCACGATGTTTATGCCCTAGATTACAACTTCGCCTGGTTTTTATACATTTTTTGTCCTTTAACCGCACTGCTTACTCACCATGTGATTCCCTATTACATCTAGTTAACACTCCAATGCTTGCTAGTTATTTCAAAAACATCCTGTATATTAAAAGTATGCATATCAAGGGAATAAAATATCACTATTAAAAAAAGAAAAGCACAACCCATAATTTTTCTTAATCTTTCATAATTATCCTGTGGCTTTATGAATTCTTTCTCTTAAAAGAGAAAAAAAAAATTACGTACTTCTTTCGAATATTAAATTTTCGACAATAATTTTATGTGTACTACTAAAAACAATCTTACAGCAATCGTCCTGATTGAAAAAAATATTTTTCATGTGATCGGAAGTCAATATTGTAATATTCGACATCAAAAATGGTAGACCAGAAAGTATGCAATCAATAAAAATTTCACAAAAGTGTTTATAACATACATATAGAGTTCAATCATTTTTTTTTTTATTTATAAAAAAAACTTACTTCGACGGTGACAACTTATTAGGATCGTCGTCTTGGTCCTGTTCGTCATCGTTTCCGTCAAATTGAAGGTTTCTTGAGCAACTTTTTTTATTGTTTTGTTGTAATTTGTCAAGAATGTTCGCATCATTGGCACTTTCAGATCTAGACAATAACCTCATATATTCACTGGGACTGCTTGGTATGGGTAAAGAGGCTGATTTTAAATCCTCTTCCGAAGCAACAGTTTCTAACCCATTCGTTACAACGTCTTCCTCGATTTCATTTGTTATTTCTAATGGCGCATTATTGCCAGTTTTTTCAGCTGTAGTGTTTTCTACGCCTCTAACTATGTTTGCGACATGCGTACGCAATCTGTCGAACAAACTTGCCTCCGTTTGAACGGCCTCATGCGAATCTAAAGACAGCTGAGAAGAACGCTCTGTAGTGTCTAGAAGACTAGATCCTGTTAAAAAACATAATTTTTATGTGAATCAAAGGATTTTGATTTTTGTTGCTACCATGATATTTTTATAGTTACACTAGCGACCCGCCCCAACTTCGCACGGGTGCAATGCTGATACTAAATGTTTTTTTTTTTGTTTAGATTATTCTCGAGGAGGGGAAATCGTCGAAAGACACCCCCTGAACATACTAAATATACTACAGAATGTCTTTATATATAACATTCACAGCTTTTTTGTCATTAGACAATACAAACCGGCCTCTCGGCCGATCGCCGCAACCGCTATGTCCCTGCATTTTAAATCTGTAATATCTTCGAAAATATTCATTTAAATTGCATGCTATAAAGGGCCATATTGATCTACATTAAATGCACAATGTATTTAAGGTACTTAATTGGATAAGAATTAATGCTGTATTGCTTAAAAATCGCTTCGTAAATAAGCCATTATTTCTCATAACAAGTAATGGATAAAAAATGATTATTGTGGCTTATCCCTACGAGATAGACATATACCATCGCGAACTTTTTTGAAGACCCTTTTTAAGATGTACAATACTGTAATACATTATTTTGATCTATATCGGAGGGTTCAGTCAGCGTTTGCAATGTAAGCGCAAAAGATGTGTTTATTTACGACATCACATTAGAAACCTCTAAAATTATCGGTGTTTCTCTGCTATATTATGCATGTATTATACATATAAACCTTTCTCTTGAATCACTCTATCTTTAAAAAAAACCGCATCAAAATCCGTTGCGTAGTTTTAAAGATCTAAGCATACATGTTGCATGCTAAATATTGGGTCTGTATTCTTTGCCTACAGCTAGTTATCTTGTAACTTAGAAATGCTTAGTAGGCATATTATCAATATTGTATTCTTTTATGAAAACCTAAATCATTCTAGCATCAAACTGGGCCTGATAATCATTATCTTGTAATTGTAAAATAAAGTTCTTTTTAAAAACTCTTGTTAGAACTTTTATCGTATCATACATACAGGAACAGACAGCGGGAAGCGACATTGTTTTATGCAATGCAGTAATAAATACGTAAAAGACTGTTTACCGTGGCGTGTATTAATTCGACTCACATCGTAATTTTTATTTGAGAAAAAATAAAAACGTCAACTATATGAATTAATAAAAAACAGTTTGTGTACTCATTTACCGCGGTAGATCAGTCAACAGTACGCACGCCCCAAAAAAAGTATTAAGTATAATTTTAAAAAAACAGAACTATTGATTACTCCTTTTAAAATTATGAATATTTGTATTAAATTTGTACATTTCTTACTATACCATACTTTAGGTTTCTGAATACCGATTAAATGTGAAGTAATCCCCCTCCCCCCAAAAAAAAACTTGAATTTATAGAAATGGAATTTTATAAATATGGTGAACAATATATTTACTTCGTGGCAATAATTTCACTTTACAGCAACTGTAAATACAGTGGATCATCTAAATCGAAGAAGAAAGGACCAAGAATGCCAGCTCAAAAATTGACTTTTCATAAAAACGGCATCACTGTCTACCAAAGTGCTGTCATCCCTAAAGCAGGCAAAATTAAAAAATAACGACACAGCAACTGTGACTTCGGCAATTTTTCATTAAAAATGGGCTCAATTGAATGATAATTTCTATTATTTTCTAAAAGTAACGAAATTATTTGTTTTATCTTGAAGATTACGAGGCATTTAAATAAGAAATTATTTAAAACTTATGTGGAATTTAGAAAAACAAGTTAGTTTGACAGTCAACAATGAATAATAAACAACAACACAAGAAAGTCTGAATGTAAAGCCTGATGCTAAATGAAAAGTTAATTTTCAAATACTTCAAAAATACTTTAGGAGCGCATTTAATTTCAAAACATCTTTTAAATAAGCCGAATTTCTACACCTTCCCAATTTCATTAAAAAAAAAGCGCCGCCAAAATAACTTGAAAAAGTAGTAAACATGTTGTGTACCATATTCGCAAATATCATTTCCATATCCCCAACGGTTCAAAAAATATTTAAAGGGGAGGGGGGTTACGTTATATTCGTTCAATATACAAGTAAGCAAAACGTTCACCGAACATACGAAATAAACATTTTCTTCTTTTCGAGGTATAAAAAACTCAAAAAGTTCCAAAACCATACAAAACTTCAATATTTTAAATATTATTATTACTAATAATTTAAATTTAACATAATAAAAACTAATATTTTTATACCTCCTTCCGTAGAAGCAGATAGCTTCCTAGCAGCATGACGTTTAGCGGCCCGCCTAAAATGAGCCGCACCAATCACAACATTCCTGAGTTTATTCCACAATAGTTGACTGGAAGTTGAATGTGCTGGCCATTCGGCCTCTAAGACGCATCTATTATACAACCTAAAATGAAAGAAAAAGGAATAAATCATTTTTTTAATATTTTATTAAAATACTGCTAATTATCTTTAAAATTATTTTTTACCCATAAGTAAGTGCATTTGGTTGTATCCCACTCTTTTTCATCAACAGGAGAAGTTTGACGGCCAGTAATGGTCTTGAGTGTTCTCCGCAAAGTTGCATCATCAGTCTGTAGCAGACCTCGTCACAATTCAAACGCAGTTGCGTGGCTTTCACCAACAGATCATAAGCTTGTTGTAAGATTTGCCTCTCTTTTCCTACATTCAGCGATAACATACTTGGAAGTGTCATAAAATATAAGGTGTGACATGTACCAAGAAGACATCGCGCCCATAGATCAGGAGCGCGTACACATTTTCTGAAATTTTATTTTTGATTAACATAGGTCAGTACTGTTCAATGTAACCGAAAAAACTGGTTAGAAACTGCGGAATAATAAGTCTGAACATTAGTGTGAGTTGGACTAAACTTAATAAACTCCCGTTTTTATGCTTCTTCCTAACTTGATTTTCCTATTAGATTGTACTGTAAGTATAAATGCAGTGACATAAGTTTTTTTGTGTTTTATTTATTTTTAAATTAATGAGTGTAAGATAAACATTAGAATGTTGAGTTCTAAACCTGCTTTTTAATTGTTTAGAAAAAAAATTATTTGTTCAACTTTTTTATAAAAATAAATCCTCACCTGGCCAATTTTTGCGCAGATTTTATTTCATGTTTGGTTCTCCTTGCCATTGGGGAACCAGGTATTGGTGTCGGGTGCAAAACAGACATATGATGGTGCCTTTTGCTTTTCAATAAAGTAGGATCTAATGTAAAGTTTGGGTAATTGTAAGGACCACCTAAAAGAGAATATAGAGAAGGGAAATAAAATCAAATTTAAAAAAATATGAAAAAGATGAACCGAAAGTTTTGTACATAATACATACTATGGAAATAGGTATCACTATAAAACTGATACGCTTAATACATTTATTCAATTTCATAGTTCCATGATTCCCAACTGAAGCATTTAATAAATATTAAAAACAATGCTCACTGTCAGTCCTAATATGCAAAAAATAAGTGTTCGGAAATTAATTTTCTTAAAAAAAGCATTCATATTTGACGTCTCTGCCAAAAACAAAGTTTTATTACTAAATCAAATTTCACCATGCAGATAAAATTTACATAATGGCAAAAATAATTGAATAATTTAGCGACAGATGTATTATAGTTTTATATTTGCTAATATATCCTACCTTCTGGTGGATGTTCGGGAGGTAGCAAAAACACCGTCCTCTCACTGTTATGTACTAAATCAGGTTCGATTAATCTGCCTTCTCCGCTTTCATCGTGACTCAATCTTTCAGTGCACTCATCGAAGAAAGCCATACCTTGGTCTCCATCAGTAACAAAACTGCGCTCTTCGATAAATCGAATGAACATCTGAGTCCTCATTAAGAGGGAAAAGAACTTCTGATGAGCCTTGTCGCGAGATTTCAAAAACTCATTTAGTTGAAAAAGGGCTTGAGGATCGGTCGTGCCCACAGTAGGAGCTTTAGTTATCGGCAAAAGATATGATCGATAACCTTTCAAAGTCAATGCCATAAACTTCAGAAAAGCTTCTTGTACTTCAAGTTCTTGAGCTTGCTGTTAAAATCATTGATTAAACGAAACAGAATTATTAATATTATTTAATTCCTCATTAATTATATATGATATTTAAGAATAATCGTTAAAGATATTAAAAAATGCAAATTATTTTTTAATATGTACATTTGTACTGAAATAGCATATAACGTTTTAAACGTTTTATAGTTATTCACTGTCACTACACACCTCCTTTTTCCTCCTCTGAAATTCTGCTTCTAAGTGAATAGGTATAGTAGGATTGGAAGGTATTTTCTTCAATTGATCAAACAATCGCTCTAAAGCTACTTTGAGAATCTTGGCTGGACGTTTTGGTAGCAATTTTATATTGAGAATTTGCCTTTGCGCTTCAGATACCTTTCACAAAAGTATAAATCATTTATATTTCATCCAAAATTGTACACTCTTACCGTTATAATATTAGTGTCCAAATCGACACAATTAACATCGGGTGGTGGATCATATAAATCGAAAAATCTGGAATCCACGCCAATCAAAAAAGGTAATGGTGCATTAAGAATTTCAACCAGACCTAAACACGTAGGCTAATATTAGTAAATTTTTCCGAGCAAATTTTTCGTGACCGATGAATGACGTTTCTAGTAGACGTTTGAATTATCTGTTACTTACCAAGAGGACACAAAGGAATGTAAGGACATTGCCACTTAAACGGAAACAGAAATGCAGATACAGCTTCGGCGACAGCTGTTAATATATCCGGTCGGAGTGAATGTATTAAGATTTTTTGTTCTGTAAGCGCCAAAAGCAAAACCATAAGACTATTTTCGGGGCCTAAGTTAATTAACAATTGTCTGAAACTCGCTGCACTGTGAGGAAGAGGCAAATCTTCAGGCTGAGTCATTATAACACGATCCAAACTGTCCATGGATAACTGCAATAAAGTGCGGGGTGCTGGAAAGGGCACTTCGTCGAAAAGTTGCACCACGTACCGTTCTATAGGAATATCCTGCGGTCTTCCACTTATCGCAATGTTCTACATGAATTAAAAATCCGAATTTAAAAATTCAGCTTCTTTTGCACTTTTATATACTTATTACAATTTTAAATGTAGACAACTACAGAATAACCCTTAATAGATCTTAATACGATTTTTTTTACTATTACTTAAGAGCATTTTCCGACGAGTCTCAGTATTTTAAACAAATTATCAATTGTCAAGTCACAATAATCTCACATTTTTGTTAAACAGTTACTAAACTCGTTAAAAGGTATATAGGAATATGTAGAAAGAATTTATGCTTTAAAAACATATTTAATTAATATCATGTTAGATAACTAAGTAATCGCAATTTTTTAAAAGAATTACCGTTCGTGCCTTAGTGAGAATAAAAATAACATGTATTTTATCATTTCAAAATCTGTACGTATGAAGCAAGCAGCCTCCATTTTTTATTTGCATACCATAATATAACTCAGGAAAAAATAAGCAAAATCAAATTTTTAAATTAAAAAAAAAACACAATAGATATTCAGAAATTTTAAAGTTTGTATAATAGCACACCTGTTAAAGAGTACTATGCGGTAGCCGAGAGACTATCTAGGGGTGCCGGTTTTTCAAAAATTCAAAAGTCGAAATAACTGTAAAACAAGCCGACAGATAATTTACTAACATAAAATTAAATTAATATCTTCCATACACCGTTAATAGATTATCCGATGCTTACGGGACAATTTGTATATAGGTATATTTATCGTTATTACGATATTACTGTAGATAGCAGAGACCACTTCTAAAGTGGATTTAAAACGGAGATTATTAGTAAGTTCAAAAATATTAATGTGAACAAATGGTAAAACCGCTTTTAAATTATATCATCCCATTAAATAATTTATGAATATTTTATAACATCCTTAACAGATAAGCGAATAACCTAATAAATTGCGTAAATAAACACACATTGTATCAACGTTGCGCGAATTCTATATTTAAAACACTGCAAATATAATAATTCATTCTATTGAATGGAACAGTTAACAAAATTTGTAGCAATAAATCAACTTCATCTTAGGTCATAAACGATTATTTCTCCACGCTATAAATGAGTGAATATCAATTACTTTGAATAAGATAATAATGTTTCGCATATTACGATTTATTATTCACATACTTTTGCAAACTTAATATTCTAATTTTAATTTTAAATATGATGCATTATCTTATTTAATCATATTGATTTCATGCAAGAAATTCATTCAAAAGTGAAACATACAACGTATATTTTGGTGGTAAACTATAAAACTTTGACAAAATAATCTCTAAATTTCAAAAAATTGAATAACAAATCAGTATAATGTAGTATTAAGTCAGTTTTTTTTAGTTATACGATGTATAAATTTAAACTTGTAAATCCTAGTATAAAAATTTGATGAAATTAATCTTCGCCTGTAGAAGCAATACAATTGTTATGTATAAACGAATAAATTTTATGAAGACATTACAAGTCTATCTTTATATATACATCATTGATCAGTTCTAACAAGTTACGGCTTCACCAATTGGCAGTTTTCCCAAGAATGGGTAATTTAAATTATGTGCACTGCTTTTTAAATTGTTCCTTTCATTCAATTTTCTCATTTCCCTGAAGCTAGAACAACCCATATCCTTAACTATTTGCGAACAGTAATCTAATTTAGGTTTACCTCTACCCCTCCTAACTTCCGTTTCTGCCTCTAATATATCTCTGACTAGACTAGATCTTCATGCCTGGGAAGGTGTCCTACTAACCTAACTCGCCTATTTCTTATTGACTTCCATAGTCTTTTGTTCTCTTACTCTTTTTAATACCGCTTCATTTCTAACCTTCTCTATCCACGGTATCCTCATCATTCACCTGTAACACCACATTCACAACGCTTCTAACCGTTTTATTTCCGTCGCGCCCATTGTCCATGTTTCGCACCCTTACAGTGCCGTGCCCTAAACATAAGACCTTTAACAACCTTCTTCGAATTTCTAAATTAACCGTTCGCGAGCATAGAAGTGGCTTTTTTTTATTGAAGACGACTCGACCCTGCGCTATTCTTTGCTTATGTCCCTACTACTCCTTTCGTCCTGACTTATCTGACTTCCTGGATACCTAAAATCGGTCACTTCTTCTAATTTTTCGTCTCCTATCTTTATATTCGTTCTTACCCTACTTTTCCTTCCCTTGTACCAGTATTTTTTTTATTTATTTTCATACAATGTATGCATTGCATATTACACATTATAATATAATAGTTCTACATCCGGCTTTGATAATACAAATTATACCAACATTAAGAATAAAAAAAATACTTACATATAAATATATGAGCCATTTTTCGAATGCGTCTGCAAAAGGCCAATGCGACAATACACATATACTTTTGTTCACGTGCAATTGGTTATCTGAGTCATCGGAATAGTCCAGAAGTTCTTTTTGTGTACTAGTCAATTGGTCCATTGGATATTCTTCATAAAAAGTTATTGCTGAACCATATACCTTGTGCTTAGCATCGGAAACGGTCAATATAAAGGTGCTAAAAACCGGCTTTGGTTTCATCGCTTTTTTGGGCCATAGCTCTAATGTAGCACCCATAGGAAGGCAAAATAAAGGGACGGTACTAGGAAATACAAAGTGTGGCAAATCTCTCATAGGATATCTAAAATTTTAAGAACACATTCTTTTGAAGTTTGAATAATGGTAGTAAATCAGCTAAATGTATCAGAATGAGAATACAAGCAGACAATTTTAAAGTATCAGTAATACAGTATCTAATTGACATTTTATAAATAAAAAAAAAAGTACGCAATTGGTTCTAAACTTTTCTCCAGATTTTTTTTTGTCAACCACGCAACTTATTGAAAAGCAAAATTTCATAGTCAATGGCAAAACAACCCATAGAAAAGGGTAAAACTGCCTGCAGTGAAAGACTAAGAACTACAATTAAATATAGAATTGTTTGGCATCAAAGGCAATTTCAATGTATTTGTCTCGCCTTTAATTGTTACAAAATTTACAGTTATTAAAGCTTCTAAATATTTATATCTTGTTATTAAATGTTAAAAACGAAGAGTAAATGATATATAATTAGTTAAAAGATTGCTATGCATAAACAAATTATGATACCTGCACAAAACAGCTGGATTATATGTGAGTAGTTTGGCTCGATTCATTGATTTCTTATAACACAAGAACACATCACTACCTACAATGCCTTTATTGAGATTTTTATTAATGCAGCAGAATGCATGAGGTGGTGATTCTCCTCTGCTTGCTATCACAACACATATATCCATTACAACTAATGCATTACAGGGTAGTGTTTCAGAGCCTCTTCTGTAGGTAATATAAGTTATAGCCGTTGAATTATTTACATTTGCTACACGACCTCCTACACTTTGTTTGACCACTTCTGCATCTGCCATGAGATATTCTTTTCCTTCATACATTATACCTGCAACATATGTAACTTTAATAACATTTGGTGTAAGAGAATTTTTTAAATAAAACATTGATCAACAAAAACACAACTACTCAAAAGCACTATTTTTAAAATGCGCAAATCAAATTCTTAAATAATTCTACATTACCTATGTCTACTAAAGGAGGTTTGTCTCGTCCTCTTCTGAAGCAAACATAGCATTCCACACTCCTTAGACTGCCGTGGTTTAAGTCAGCACTTAGCCCTGTAGGAGTTCGAGATATCACTTCATAGTCAGGTGGTGCAACTTCACCCAAAGTAGGAAACACAACACTAATATCAGTTATTGGAGCCTGATTATGACCCGGTTTTAAATTTCCAGCATCAGAAAGAGTATTTTCATCAATAGGGTCTGGATTTTGTGGTAATCCGGCAATAACAAAATAATCAGCGACGCGCCTCTCTTCCATTTTTTGCGTTGAAAATAATAAAAGTTAATAATTTTATCACTTTACTATTTGGTTCATAGTGAATAAGGCACTTTTACCAACGCAATTCGTTGTTTCTTTCAATTACAATTTTCTTCGTCGTTGATAGCATGGAATCTAGCAATGTACATCTTTAGGCATTTATGGTTATGTTACAAATAGACAAAAAAATAGGTTTATACATTAAACATTCTGTAACTGCGAGATATACAATTTACAAAACTTATTATTAGCATTTTAATTAAACGTATCAACTAGCAGCTTTTTAACGTATTATTATAAACCATAGACAAGATTATAAACTAAAAGTTGACTTTCTTATATTTCTTTTACAATTTTTTAATCATTTTTTAATGAATATGTATCTATATGTCATGTATATGTCAGATACTGGTCAGATATACTCTGGATATACATAGTGGTTACTCATAGATTAAGTGAAGTGGTTACTGTTACTTATAATAGGCAACCTGTTACTAGTGGTCATTTTAGGTCATCCATAGATTAAGTAGTCATCGTTGATGGTGGTTACGGTGTGTACGATACAGTGCCACCACAGTTATTAACCATAGTTAGGTACACTACCAATTGACTAACGAAAAACGTAACTATTATTAAGCATAGATAAGGAATATTTAGTAACTGTTTATATTTCCCTTATCTATGATTATTAACATAAATATCAAATAATATGATTGAAGAATCAGAGATAAGACCCACTCTACCGTCGACGTGTAAGGCGGAAACACATTATTAAAACGCGACGTGACGCAACGTGTCGACACCCGATATGCACCGTGCACATTACCAACACGCAACTCCACGATATACTAGCAATTTCTGAATACAGTTAGCTAACAGCAGTGGAAGTATATGGTTATTTACTATGGATTTAATAAATAACGAGTCAGATGAAGACTTTGAAGAAGATTTGATGCAAATTTTGGGTACATATATAATACTTGTACGACTCAAGAAAAGAGAATTACTAGGCGGTACTGGGTACATGAAATAACTCAAAAGAGAACTATGTGTGTATAGAATAATATTAAATTGGCATAAATTCCATTTGACAGTTTGAAGAATAGGGATGAGGTCAAAGAATGTATATATGCTCTGTGATAGTTCTCGAACGACTCACGCGTGGCGTTGGGTGTTGTCTAGAAACATACAGCATTCGCCGCGTCGGATGGCATGTTTACCCCTACCATGGGCAACACACCGACCTGGAACGTCTGGATCAGGTGGCGTGTGCACGCATGGCGTCGCATCGGATGTTCATAGTGTAATTCTGGTCTATAGAAAAAAACACATTTGATTCAACTCAACACGCATCGCGTTTCATCGGGTCGCGTCGCGTTTTAATAATGTGTTTCCGCCTTTAGTAATGGACTGCCTTAGCCATAGATAATAGATACACAAAGGGTCAATGCAAAGGGTAAGCAGTCAGAATTATAGTACAACAAAAGAAAGAGATGGAACGAAGTTTCGGACAATATCCATATCTTTCACGATAGTGCGTAAGAGTGTCATGAAAGAGATAGCATTAGTTAGAAACCGTACGCCATCTCCCTCACTTTTCGAGCCAAGAAATTATTACAACGACTAACGACATACGGCTAAGGCATGTCCATTAATAATGTCTATGCACTCTACATAGATTTTTCATCTAAGATCAAAAACTAAAAGAAGAAGAAACAACGAATAATTTATGACCATTGATTCTATCACATGTTCTCTGACAATAATCTATGAAACGATCTATGAATATTCTGTGATAACGAATTTTTTTAACGGCTTTCAAAATTATTAAATTGATTACAACGTAATATTAACTAAATGTTAACCAAATTTTTAATATTATAAACTGATATGAGTCAAACATATTTTCCATACTAGATATAACTGATAATGAAAAATTAAAAATATCGAAATCAGCAGACGGGCATGTGTATCCAAACAAATTCGTTTTATTCTTACTAAACTTCAAATTTAAAATAGGTAACAGAAAAAGAATAATGTGTCCCTGATTTATTATGTTTATTATAACTTTGATAAACCTAAAAAAATGTGTACGTGTCTACACGTGCTTTGCGCTTACGTTATTGTAATTATGTAATTCTAAAATTGCTGACTTTTTTGTAAAACATAAAACCTTTTATGTTTTTTATCGGTTTTCTATAAATGAATTTATACTTTCTAAATAGTTATTTAGAAAATATCGGCAGTCTATATTATGATATGCAATTGAAACGAATTTATTGTACTACAAACGTGTTTATACGATCAGTTAAATGAATAAGTATTATATTAACGTATTTTTAAAACAGACCGCAATTATTTGGTGTAAACGTTGTGTATCTAATTTTAAAACCGTAATGAGTCCATGTGAAGACAATTTTTACAAGGTAGTACATGTGTATTCATTTGAGTTATATATGATTTTTATTTCAATTAGATATAAGGTATATTTAATTTAGTTAAATATTTTAGCAAGCAATTGTGGCTTTAAATGCACTACAATCTAATCAAAAGTATATAAACAATATCAATAAAAATAGTTATAAGTTTAATAACTTTGAAAAATTTCTAAATCGGTAAGTATTATATAGCATTAGACATATAATAATGTTAAGCTGCATTTATTTCAATGAATTTGTAATTTCAGAGCTGGAATTAAGGTAGATGACTTAGATCAACTCTCCATAATCCACGTTTCAGGTACTAAAGGTAAAGGAACAACTTGTGCTTTTTGTGAAAACATCTTGCAACAACATGGGTACAAAACTGGATTTTTTTCTTCCCCGCACTTATTGGAGGTTCGTGAAAGAATAAGGGTTAATGGAATTCCTTTAGAAAGAGAAAAGTTTGGAAATTATTTTTGGGATGTATATAGAAAATTGGATTTAGTTAAAGTACAAAGTTAATAAGATAACAAAAACATCACCTACATTAATACAATTTGTAGGAGCATTCCACTGACATGCCTGGGTATTTTGCCTTTTTAACTATAGTAGCATTTTATGTGTTTCTAAAAGAGAAAGTTGATGTGGCTCTAGTTGAAGTTGGAATTGGAGGAGAATCGGATTGTACGAATATAATAAAGTAAGTAGGCAATATATTTTCGTTATCATATACAGGGATCTTCAAAGAGACATGTAAGAGATTTGAAAATTTGGTAGTATATATTTTTTCGACGAATTCGTATGAAAAAATTTTAAGGTAACTTTGTTAACCAACTTCTATGCCTATGATGAATAGTTTCTGAGATAATTTTATTCATAGAAAAACGCTACCGCAACCGAAATTATAACTTCCACAAAAAAATAATTAGATTGTTGAAATTTTTACCAGTTATACCCAAATTGAACTTTATAATTTATACTGGATGTTCAGAAAAAAAGTTTAAAACTTCAAACACGAATAACTTCGTTTCTTCAAATAGCACTTCGTATTTTATTTTATCATTCGATCCTTGTGGATGTTTTATTTTACTTTATTTAAAAATTTGGATTTTTATCAAAAATAGATAATTTCACTATGAATGTTAGAAATCAAGACTTTATCTTTTGTTTATTTATGTTACAAAAGCGATAGATGATGATATTTATAATGAATACTCCAATTGAAATTTAAATACTTTATTGTGTTTATGAAGAATCCTGTTGGTGGAGATTCTGGACATTACAAACCTATAAGCATGCATCTTATGCTTCCATAATATTCTTTCAATTGATCAAAAAAAAAAAAAAACTGCAAGAACATCAATTTCGTTGTTTTCTTCTCCAGTAAAACATTTTGAAGTGGCATTCGAAGCTTGGAAAGAACCAAATTCCTTTTAATTTTGTTAAATTTGCGCTTATTTATGGGAGCTGTTTCTTAAACGTTGCATTCTTCATATTACAAAATGAATTGTAGTAATAATTATAAGCCTCGTCTTTTACCGTTTTTGTAACATAAGATTAGGTTTTACAATACAAATTATGTTAATAAATGTTCAATGAAAGTGAAGTTAGTTAGAAACTTTAAAAAGAGGGAGGAGCTAGCATTAAAAAACAGTACTCAACACTGACTTAGGCGGAACCAAGAGTAAAAGCAGTAGTGGTAGAGCAAATGATAGTAGTGGTGGGGTCTTATTGACTTATTACTCTTTTAGAAAAGTATAATTCACGCACATTGAAAGAGGGCATGCGGCGATTATTTTTTCGAAGCGACAACTATCGGCCAGCTATCAGAAGCTCCAACATGCTATCCGAAATCGATTCCGGGTTTTTAACCCAGAATTGGATTTCTTTTCTAGTACCTTTTTCTTCAACATAGCAGATTCAAAGTTTACATTATTAGTTTGATAGAGCATTGAAGTATACTCGTATATACAAACTTTCAGTGTAAAATTCCTTTAACTTTTGTTAAAACCTGTAATAGGTCACCAAACATTAAAAACCGAGTATAACATTTTATGCAATAATATATCAACAGAAATACGGACGTTGTTGGGATAACATCTTTAGGAATAGACCATACAATTTTACTTGGAAACACAATTGAAGAAATAGCGTGGCAGAAAGCTGGTATAATGAAAAAAGGCTGCAAAGCATTTACAGTTCCACAGCCTGAAACTGCACTGAAAATTCTTAAAGAAAGGAGTAGGGAGAAAGAAGTAAGGGTCATATTAATCTAAAATAATAACAACATCATTTAATAAAAAATTTTAGTGCTCTTTAGAAGTTGTCCAGCCTCTTGTAAATGGTTTGATAAATGTAAAAAGTTCATTTATCCCAGTCGATATTTTTAAATTTAATGTCAGTTTAGCTCTTGCTTTAGCGGAAGGTTGGGTACAAATAAAAGGTAAAAGTGTTATCGAATATTATACGCTTTACTTTTTTTAAAACAATACTATTGCAGGTTTCAAGTCTTTAAAATCTCAAATTATAGAACGTGCGATCGAAAATACTTGCTGGCCAGGTCGATTTCAAGTTATTTTCGAAAAAAATTCTAGGTAAGTGAATTAAAAAAGTGTAATTTCTAATAAACATCTTCTTTAGATTGAAATTATTCTGAAAAATATATATGTATCATCTATCCTACGAAAGAATGAACGGGTATAGATCTATCGGCGAACTTCATGTAGACTATCCTTTTTTAAATCTACTAACAAAAAAAAGGCAAACATAGATAAGAAGTGAACTAATGACATACGACTTTAAAGTATAATTCGAGAAACGTAACACTGAATAAGAATATCGCTATGCGCTACCAACCACTGCTAGATCAAATTAGGGGTATTACTAGTACCGTAGAACATATGAATCAACACTTTTTCTTTGCTCCCCCTACAATGACGCAAGTTCATTCTTTCCCAGGATGGATAGTATATGTTTGATATGTTGTGTATAGTCAATAAAACAAAATAAAAATTTTGAAACTTCCGTAAATTAAATTTAAAACCTAAAAGTATTTCTTTTCTTTTTGGGCCTGTTATTGGTTCCTATTTAAATTCTGACTTTATTTAATCAATAAAAGAAACATTTCAACGTTCACGATGGAAAGTAATGGAGTATTAACACCTTTATATGAATTCAAACGTGTATAGTTTACTAAAATATTAAAAATTGCATCGTTGAAATTCCTGATGCCTGACTAACTTAATTTATTGTTAAGAACGGTGTTTATAAGTTAGTTTAATGACACCCGATTTATATTATTTTTCTAATTATTTATACCTAAATCTTAGTAACGTTGTAACATACGTGACGCTAACAGATAAAGATGCCGGCTCCAGTCTATTTGCAAGACTGGAGCTGGATGATGATGTGACTTAAGTTTATTTGCTAGGTCAAAAGTCAGAAAAAGATGAGTCTATTTGCGAGACTGATTTATTCAATATATTTACACGGTGTTTATACTAATATTATTTACACGGATTAAATGCAAAATGTTTGTCAAGCAGTTTGATCCGAGTTCGATGGTTATAGTTTTGGTCAATCGACAGCGACGATAGAAATGCTGAGTCGCTTGCATACATGTGCATGTACCGTATGTTTAAGAATTATATACTATACGGACAGTGACACAGAACCCTAGTAATTAACGATATTGGTAATCCTGCTGTGAAGTATTTCGATAAACGTACTCGACGTCCTGAGCGGGTTGTTCTTGTTGATTGTGCAGCATCATCGTTGCGGGTGGTTGCAGGCGCAGGAGAGGATTGTGGATGTTGCCCGTCTGACATAATGTATGTTGATTTCAGTCGGTGAATAGATACGGTTTTCTCTTTGTTAGGCAGTTGAGCAGTGAACGTGTGGTCGTTCCTGCTGATTACTTTGAAAGGGCCGTCGTAAGAGAATTGTAGCGAGTTTTTAGGACCATCGTATCGAATTAGGACGTACTCTGCTGTTCGGAGGTCTTTGTAGATGAATGTCTTCTTTTCCCCATGTCGTGTTCCGGATATAGGCTATAATAGTTGGAAGTGTTGACGAAGCTGTTCTGTTATACGTAGGTTGGTGGGCTGCTGTTGGCTTGTGAACTTGGTGAAGATAGGAATTCTCCAGGTAGACGTAGTGACTTTCCATATACCATCAGCGGCTGTTTCTTTCAGATATTCCTTCCAGGCTGCTCGTATGCCTAATAGTACAGTGAGATGAAACTGCGTCCAGCTGGCGATGAAATCGTTCGACCATTCCATTTGCTGGATGGATGTGTTTGGTGTTCATTAATTAAAGACAGTTCATTGAAGAGTTAAAATTCGAATTGTCTTCCTAATAATCCGTAAAGGTGCACCAAATCGACAGATCCATCCTTCGTAGAAAGCACGTGCTATGTTGTCATGTGCACAAAAACAAAATCGTAGTATATCATATTGTTAAAGCAGGTAAAGTAATCACTTTATGAAAATAAAGACTTATATAAAAGTTCGATTCCCAGCCAATGCAATACCTTTTTTGTTTCACATCTGTCAGGCGTCTCGTGACTTGGATAAAACAAAACAATTGAACTTAGACCGCGTGTGTCCGTGTGTTAGGAAAGCTTCCCAAAGATTTGTTCGGAAAAGGTTAGATATATTTTATTTAACATAAGCGCAGTAATGAAGTATCGATGTTTTCTTATGTCGAAAAAAAAAACGCGATAGTATAATAATATTGAGTGAATGTATTTTATTAAAAAATACATTGTTTATTTCATTCAACATAATGTAATATGTATTTGGTTTTAGGTTTTTTTTGGATGGCGCACATACACAAGAGAGTATTACAATTTGTTCAAACTGGTTCTATGAAAAAACATGTTCTGCTCCTGAACCTAAAGTGTTGGTCTTTAATGTGACTGGTGATCGTAATTCAAAAAACTTTTTAAAAATACTTAGAAAATGTAATTTCAATCAGGTTTACTTTGTTCCAAATAAGTCTTATGTACAAGTTAGTGCAGGTATTAAACAATTAAATGAGAGCAATAACAATTACGAATATTTTTAATTTTTTTGCTTTTTATAGATCAATCATACACCCCTTCCAAAAACGATACGCAAATTTTGATTTGCAAAGAACACCTACGAATTTGGGAGAGTTTTTATAATGTACCTAATTTTGAAGCAGATAGTGCTCAAATATGTAATAGTGTTTATGATGCATTTCAACAAATATGGAAGAACAACAAGCGGAACTACAACGTTCTTGTGACTGGTTCTCTACACCTAGTAGGATCAGCTATTGCTGTGATTAAAAAGGACGACTATGATTTGTAATTTAGTTTACATTAGTGTACGAGCCTAAATAAGCAGTTTGTGGAAACTCTCGAATTATTGTTTCATGTTTGTTAATATTTTTCGCTTATTTCGTTATTATAAACTTAAAACAATGTTAATAATAATATCAACGATTATTAAATATTTTTAGTATTAATATCCATTGATTTTTCAATAATCAACTGAANTTAGTTGTCGAAGTATGACATCAAAGCTCATATTATTATGAAGCCAAAGGGCCCGGGTTCAATTCCCGGCGAAGGTGTGACAACAGTTACAATTATTCCTCATTAACCTGAGGTAGTTTGTAGTGGGAAAAAATGTAATGAATTTTCACAATATTTAATAGTAACCCCTATTAAATGTCAAAGTGTTTCACAAAAACATTGAGATAAACAACCAACGTCGCCCGGATTAGGGTGATTTATTAGTTGCTATTAAGCAACCACTATCTTTTGCTTTGTTATACCAGTGCATAGAAATAACAGTACAAATTATGTGTACTTGTTCTGACATTATAGACACAATAATGCCTTAATTTTAATAAATAAAGTTTTTCCTTATAACTTGTTGTATACACATTAAATATACCTAGGTAATAATATGCAAAAGAAATTGTTGCTTATTGGAAATATGGTATCATTATCGCTGATGGGTGAAAGTTCCGTATGTAAAACAATTCGGTGCTCGGCCATACGGACCTAACTATTTCATTAAAAAAATTGAATGTCGCAATCATATCCTGCGTAATTATTGTTCAAAAATAAGAGAAATTTTCAAAAATATCTCGAGTTCCTAGGGAATGTGGGGAAATTAAACAATTTTTAAGATTTCGGACAGCTGTTGTTAGTTCTCTACATTATTAGAATAGGAAAGAAGTTCCAATAGACGTAAGAATAAATTCATTAAAAAAGAATATTAGTAATAGCGCTGCTCATATTTTCCTAGGCTAGGAGAAGTTACAAAATATTGTACAGTAGTTAGCTGTAATGATAAAAAAAATAAAAGCAATCAAGATTATATGTATCAAATACAGGGACACATTTCGAACGCTTCTAACTTTTTCCTTTACACCGTTCTCACCGTCCACGTTTCGCACCCGTACAGCGCCGTGCTCCAAACATACACTTCTAACAACCTTTTTCGAATTTCTAAATTAACCGTTCGCGATCATAGAAGTGATTTGTTTTTATTGAAGGCGACTCGACCCTGCGCTATCCTCTACTTTATATCCCTACTACTTCTTCTGTCCTGACTTATATGACTTCCTAGATACCTAAAATTCTTTTAATTTTTCGTCTCCTAACTTTATATTCGCTCATTTTACTTTTTTTGTTTTACTTTTATTTATTTTCATACAGTACTGCTTTGTCAATACCGCTTCCAATTAGCTATATCTAAGTCCTCCTTGTTAGATGCTAATACTACTATATCATCTGCAAATCTAAGCATACTAATCTTTTGCCCCCGTATATCTATCCCTACAGTTGTACTGTCGTTAATGATGTTGATCGCGTCTTCGATGTATAGATTAAACAGTAGTGGTGCCATTTTGCAACGCTGTCTGACTCTCTTCCTAATATATACATTTTTATATATAATTATTAATAATCTTGTTTATTTAATTTTTACCTACGTTCCCCTAAATTTTCCCATGTATATATGTATATTACTTGGCAAACAGTGAAAATGAGATCCACTTGGAATTTGGAATAATGACATGAAAAATACAGTAAAAATTATTTAATATTTACAGAAACATCGAAATTTTACAAAAACAAAATTATTGTAACATAAAATTCGAATGATTTAAAACTTATTACGTATTGGTAACAAAATATTAGTTTATCACAAGGAACATACTGAGAAGCCCTCTTTATTTATTGACTACTAACAGACTAGTACTTTTATAATCACTAAGATTGTGGCTGTTGCTTGTTTTGTGCTTGAGGCAATGATGTTATATCAAAATCGGATTCAGTCTCATTCTCCGACAATGACAAGGAACCACCTGCTCTTCTTGATAGCATATCTTCCTCATTATGCTAGTTAAAAATATAACATCAAAAAACGTACTTAACGTCCATAAAATAAATACATACGTGAAGTGTGCTGACTGACGGTTCTGAAGCATAACCATGACCCTCATAATCTTCGTCTTCTGAACTGGAGGAACTAGAGGATTCATCTTCACGTGTTCTATAATATGCATATGTGGGTATGTTTTATATAAAAAATGCCGAACAGTAATAAATTAGTAACTACTTGCTCATGTAATTTGTACTCAGTAAAAATTAAAAATAAAGAATAATTGACAGTAAATACTAATCATAAGTTCCTTTACAAATTCGTTTTATTCTTACTAAACTTCAAATTTAAAATAGGTAACAGAAAAAGAATAATGTGTCCCTGATTTATTATGTTTATTATAACTTTGATAAACCTAAAAAAATGTGTACGTGTCTACACGTGCTTTGCGCTTACGTTATTGTAATTATGTAATTCTAAAATTGCTGACTTTTTTGTAAAACATAAAACCTTTTATGTTTTTTATCGGTTTTCTATAAATGAATTTATACTTTCTAAATAGTTATTTAGAAAATATCGGCAGTCTATATTATGATATGCAATTGAAACGAATTTATTGTACTACAAACGTGTTTATACGATCAGTTAAATGAATAAGTATTATATTAACGTATTTTTAAAACAGACCGCAATTATTTGGTGTAAACGTTGTGTATCTAATTTTAAAACCGTAATGAGTCCATGTGAAGACAATTTTTACAAGGTAGTACATGTGTATTCATTTGAGTTATATATGATTTTTATTTCAATTAGATATAAGGTATATTTAATTTAGTTAAATATTTTAGCAAGCAATTGTGGCTTTAAATGCACTACAATCTAATCAAAAGTATATAAACAATATCAATAAAAATAGTTATAAGTTTAATAACTTTGAAAAATTTCTAAATCGGTAAGTATTATATAGCATTAGACATATAATAATGTTAAGCTGCATTTATTTCAATGAATTTGTAATTTCAGAGCTGGAATTAAGGTAGATGACTTAGATCAACTCTCCATAATCCACGTTTCAGGTACTAAAGGTAAAGGAACAACTTGTGCTTTTTGTGAAAACATCTTGCAACAACATGGGTACAAAACTGGATTTTTTTCTTCCCCGCACTTATTGGAGGTTCGTGAAAGAATAAGGGTTAATGGAATTCCTTTAGAAAGAGAAAAGTTTGGAAATTATTTTTGGGATGTATATAGAAAATTGGATTTAGTTAAAGTACAAAGTTAATAAGATAACAAAAACATCACCTACATTAATACAATTTGTAGGAGCATTCCACTGACATGCCTGGGTATTTTGCCTTTTTAACTATAGTAGCATTTTATGTGTTTCTAAAAGAGAAAGTTGATGTGGCTCTAGTTGAAGTTGGAATTGGAGGAGAATCGGATTGTACGAATATAATAAAGTAAGTAGGCAATATATTTTCGTTATCATATACAGGGATCTTCAAAGAGACATGTAAGAGATTTGAAAATTTGGTAGTATATATTTTTTCGACGAATTCGTATGAAAAAATTTTAAGGTAACTTTGTTAACCAACTTCTATGCCTATGATGAATAGTTTCTGAGATAATTTTATTCATAGAAAAACGCTACCGCAACCGAAATTATAACTTCCACAAAAAAATAATTAGATTGTTGAAATTTTTACCAGTTATACCCAAATTGAACTTTATAATTTATACTGGATGTTCAGAAAAAAAGTTTAAAACTTCAAACACGAATAACTTCGTTTCTTCAAATAGCACTTCGTATTTTATTTTATCATTCGATCCTTGTGGATGTTTTATTTTACTTTATTTAAAAATTTGGATTTTTATCAAAAATAGATAATTTCACTATGAATGTTAGAAATCAAGACTTTATCTTTTGTTTATTTATGTTACAAAAGCGATAGATGATGATATTTATAATGAATACTCCAATTGAAATTTAAATACTTTATTGTGTTTATGAAGAATCCTGTTGGTGGAGATTCTGGACATTACAAACCTATAAGCATGCATCTTATGCTTCCATAATATTCTTTCAATTGATCAAAAAAAAAAAAAAACTGCAAGAACATCAATTTCGTTGTTTTCTTCTCCAGTAAAACATTTTGAAGTGGCATTCGAAGCTTGGAAAGAACCAAATTCCTTTTAATTTTGTTAAATTTGCGCTTATTTATGGGAGCTGTTTCTTAAACGTTGCA